GGGCGTACTGAAGCTTTCGAACAACAGTGCCTCATCGTGGTGTACATGAACCTGTTGTTTCGTTCACCATCCTGCAACCTCGCGAAATTCGACGATTCATACTTCACTCCAGGGACCACAGCTGGGTCATACATTGGCAGGGATGGATGGTCATCTTTGTTTTCACGGGGCACTTGCTCCCATGAGTTAAACGCCTGATATAAGTGTCCTTCAAGACAGTGCCACAGTAGACACATTGAAAGGTGGCATTGTACTCAATGGTGCCATTGGCGTAGACGGGTAGACACCCATAACATCGTTGGCACTTCCATGCCGGCAAGGGGGGTGGCGATGCTGTCTCCAAGGACATGAGTTCCAGATCCCAGTTTTCTCCAGACATGATTGCTGGTTGTAACACTGCTTCCGTCACCCCGCTCATCATATATAGTGAGAGCTCACGATCATGACGTCACCGGTGCCACGTCATTACCCTCACGCGCGACCATGACGTCATCGATACCACGTCATTACCCTCACGCGCGACCATGACGTCATCGATACCACGTCATCGATACCACGTCATCGACGACACGTCATCGCTGTCTCGTCGCCCATATATAAACTCCAACATGGATCAGTGAGGCTATCTTCATGCAACATGAATACAAGAAAAGTAGAAGTCATGCGACCGGTGCCTTACAGTAAAAATTGTGGTAGACGGCAATGCTTGCGATGCAGCCCTACCTTACAAGGGAAGACTGACATCAAAATGGAAGAGGCAGCAACAACACCTGCAGAACCGATACCCACAACGGTAACAGAAGCAGCGGCAGCCCCACCACCACCACCACCTATGACAGGAGACACGGTAGCGCCACCACCACCAACAACAACAACAACAACAACAACAACAACATTACCAAAATGGTCATCCCAATGGCGACTAATTATCTGCCCTACCTGTTTTAAAGCGTATCCCTCAAATCGCTTTGATGTCGTTCCAGGAGCTGCCTTCGGCGACATATGCCTCTACTGTGGAGAAGGCATCATCAAGAGAGGGCAGCAGCAACACGATGATGTGTGCCCCGGAAAATTTATTTTTCGGGGTCTCCAACTCCTCTGTGAATGCTAACCTGCCTGGTTCACATACCAACGGCCCTTTTCAGGGCCACCCACCTCGCTCGAAAGAAGGCTACATCCAATGTTTTTTAACCACACACACACACACACACACACACACTAACACACACACACTTGTCTAGCCACGCCATCGTCCGCCTCACCCCCTCTCTCCCTCCCTCCTTTCCTCTCCTTTCCTCTCCTTCCCTTCCCTCTCCGTCCCGTCCCGTCCGCCGCTCGTCCGTTCCGCCATCTTGAAAGGCGTCTACGCTCGCGAGATCCCGCGAGAATCCACGAGATCCCGCGAGATCTCACGCGATCCCACCGGATGGGACGCCATCTTGAAACGCGTCCGCCATCTTGGCCCGGAGGTGACGTCATCGTCATGCGCGCGCAACCACCGGAACCGGACGTGACGTCATCGCGATGCGTGCGCACACACCGGAACCGGAAGCACCGGAACCGGAACCCGAGTGATCTCCCCCTGGCCGGAAGTGACCGGATCCAAGATGGCGGCTCCCATGGGGACCGGATGTGCCGCCATTTTGAAAAAGGGGCCAGGGTGACACTGCATACTACTGGCATCATAGATATTTCACAAACATGGTACAGGACCCTTAGCCTCATTAGCGTATTGCCTCACCACTTGCGAATTAAGCGTTGGCAGATGTAAATGTTACTGAAGATGTTGGTCCCCGCCAGCCGCCGGTGTTCGGTATTGTTTACTCTGTAACCCGAATCCTGCAGTGAGTTTTAACAGACGCTGAACCTGGGAATATCTAGATATGCTTCATTTAGGGCGTAAGCATTACAGTAAGGGCTGGGCGGAAGGGGAAATAATATCGTTCTCTGACTATGATAAAACAGAGACTATATAACAGACTATTGTATGGTCTCTGGATACAGATTGGGACAAGATATGGAAAACAAAATATTTGGACAACAGACCATTGTTTGGGTCTTTTAATTGTAAATATGATTCCAATAGCTTAACCTAGATTTCGATATCCTTCGAATGTACATTTGGTTGAAACTGGAAAGTATACTTGTAACCCGTGACAAGAACGAATACTTAATAATTCAAGAGCATAACAGCACGAGTATCCATTTTGTCTTTTGCCTACATACGCTCAATCACATGAATTGTGTCTCCAGGTCACGGAGCATCAGTGGTTTAGGGGCCCGTATTGCAATTCTCGTGCGTTTCCATGTGTTGTTGACGCGGCATGGACGCCTTGTAACATCACTATTTGATTATGATTCACAAACACATGCTCATGATATGGTTTGAATCGTGCCATGGATTAGCAGATATTTATCATGAAGGTTTTTTATGTAGGTGGCTTGAAACGCGCTTTGTCAAAGGCCTATAGGTTCGATCACATTAATATGCGTTTTACAGCTTCTTTTCTCTAAAGATGCTCACGCCAAAACTGATTTAAATTCTTATCGCAGATAAAAGAATAAGACAATAAATAGTATGCCAAATTATCGTTACCATGACAACCCTGTGACCTTTCATCTTATGTAAGAGAGAAATAAATACGATGCTAGGTATGGCATCATGGCTACTGCAGATGATAGTGTCTGTCGTAGATTTCAATAAGTTGCTGATGCGCTATCCCTAATCGCTGGATATCTATACAATTATATGTGTGATGGAGGAGAACTTGCGTCGCTACTTTTCTCAGTAATCTGAATACATGTATGTAGCGTGAAACCGGCAGATACCTACGGAAGAAAGTGTTTGCCCTACCTGTAACAACGATGTCCCGTGTCTATAAAGGGGATGTAATGTGGGAATGAATGGCATGTACTTTTATCTGGGCCCGTTTATGATGATACGTATTGCGATCTTTCAAAATAATCTCACTGGCTATCAGATTGAGGGTACGTTTCAAACATAACCGGTATTTCAATTATTGTATTTATACAGAAACATTCTTCGAACTTTCTCCATATACGTCCGTCAGATACATTGCACACTACCCCTTTCTCTCTTGATCTTCTCAAACGACTGTTGCAAGTTCGAAGAATCCTGGTCAAAGTAGAAAAGTCTTAAGACTATTCCCTACAAATCTGTAACTTACACATTGTACCATAAATGGGTAGAGCTTCCGTTCGGGGGAATATCAGGAAGACAACGATACCATTATCTCCAATGTTGTAGAAAGCACTCCACTTACTTAGGAAAACAATAACCCACTGAGATATTGCATTCTTGTCGGAATCAATATTTTCAGCACCTGTCAGATCTGAACTTGAACATGCGAGGTCTGCGTCTATGTCAGGTTAAAGGTCTGCAAGATGTTTAGCAACACTGGGGCGTAATAGTCATAGGCCTGCTCCAAACAACGGAATATATATCTTGTTAAAAGGACTTCTCCGACATGGAAAATTACAGCAATACAACATCACATTTACTTGTGTGACATTTGCTTTCGGAATCTGGGTTTATGGATCGTCAATTTAAACAGGACAATCAAGACAAATTTTACAAAAGGCACAGAGGCCCAACATACCAATGGTATACTCAGAGAACGCACCCGCCTGTGCCATCCGGACATAATCGCTACACGATAAAAACTATTTTTTGTGTGGCGTTATTACAGCAAAGGCTGAGCGTAAGGAGATATAACATGGTTCAGGCACTGTGAGACTATTAAGAAAGGTCACATGCAGTGCAATAATATTCCAATTATGTACTGCCAAAACTTATTTTACAGTACTGATGCGAGAGCTGAAGAGACTTAAGAAATTACGAGTTGGTTCGTGTAGCGTATTTGGCCGTGCTCAAAGAGAGATAGTCTCTGAATATATATAATTTTGATAGTAACAAACAATCCCATTCAAATTGGAAAGGAGCCCCAGGGAGACTAGAGATTCAGAATCTGTGGAAATCTAGACTTGCTTTATTTAGGGCTTTAGCACTGCAGAGAGGGCTTGGCAGCAGGGAAAAATAAATAATGTGGTTCAGGGACTGTGAGACAGACTACAAGAGAGATAAAGTGCTATCCTGTTGGGACAGCTAGGGACACTTGCAAGGCCAAAGGGGCAGCTCATCGCCCTTTTGTTCACCACTCACAAGATTTGCCAACACCGCAGACAAAGCGTAACTGATACTCGCAACAAGTGCGAGCGCAGCTTAATAAGCCATGTTAGCTTGCGTAATACCGCTTTCTTAGTCAGGCTATTTTGATGATAAGAATAATGAGGTCACGTGAACGTTGGTTTCAAACGTACTAAAATGTGTGAAAATGAAATTACATGAACCAAGTAATTCACATGATGGAAACAAATGATCATCTTGCTTGAGCACAGGTAACATGAAGGTGTATGAACCGTTCATATACATACCCCTGAAATCCGGTATGATTCATAAATATCTAAGGTGTGTAAACATTTGCACATGTGAAAATTTACAAGTGTTTCTCCACCTAAGTAAATTTACATGTTTCCAACCTGGGTAAACTTAGAACGAAATCGGAAATTTCAGCACCCATTGAAATTTAAAGGAATGCATCGGAAATACTGTATGATCATGTATTTACTGGGGTATCTGTTTTGCAATTCATGTTTGGAAATACCTGACAATCCGGTCATGGCATACATGAACGAGGTACTTGTGCATACGAAAATGTACGATGAGCATATGTTTCAAAGGTATAGATTCATATGAAATATATGCCCGAAGTTAGGAAATATCTGAAGCATACGTAAATTCGGTCATGGCATGTATTTCCTACTGTATTTACGTTTATTTCAATGGTTTACTATCCGGTTTTTTTGGTTCTGTGTTATGTGATCATGTCTTGTTATGAAGAGATTGGGGACTTCATATCTAAATATCTGAACATAGTTTTTACATGATCTGAAAGGTGAAATATGTTTTCTATCCTCAGAAAGAAAGAGTTCGCCCGTGAACTTGTGGAGAATCTTTTGGACAGTTCACGCAACGAAGAGGTCGTACAGCACCAGTCTGTTAAAGGGCTTAAAGACGTAGCTATAGAGGTGGCAACAGTTGGGAATAACCTGAACAGAGCTATGGTTGGAGGGGCTGTTCTTGGCACGGCTGCTCTTGGCACGGCTGTATTGATTGCCGCTCCCTTCACGTTTGGAGCATCCCTAGCCTTGGGAGCTGCTTCTATAGTAGCGCTCATTGCTGCATTCTTGTTGTCAATTAAGAAAAGTCAGGTACAACACGGTGCACAAGAGAGCTTGGAGGCATACACCAGAGCAGTGGAGTTACTGGAGAGAAATATTTCCATCCTGAAGAAGCAGGATGATGTCATGAAAGAATTGGTGGAAAGCGCAGTTGTTGAACGTCTGAAAGTCAAGCCAGTACAGATATCAGATATGATGATATCTCTCGGACAATCCGCAAAGTCCGCTTCAAAGATGGTTTTCAACATCAACGGGCAGGAAATCCCTATGGATAAACTGAATTTATACGAGTTCATTTCAGAAAATGTGCTAAATAAAAGGCGTCCCCCTTCAGTGGTAAAAGACGATATCTGGGACATGGCTCGACAAATAGAAAGAAAGTACGTGGATCCCTTTCGCCGACTGTTACAAGTACATTGATGGACATTAGTGTTGCCTACCAATATACAATATTCATCAATATACAGTAAATTGTAACATATGTCCGAATGAAGCTCCAAATCCAGTTTAAAGACAATACAGAAAAGTTATTTTTCAAGAAGATCAACAAGTAAACTGCAAACTATGGGATATTAGAGTATGTTTGTGACTGTACCTTGTATTACACGGGGCCGACATAGAGCAGAGGATTTGGGATTCGACAAAAGAGATGGTACTTTTTATAACCCTGCCAGCCACTTAACACTAAGTGGATTAAACACTTGTCGGAGTGAGTATGGTGTGCCTTAGTGAGGCAGCCATGTTACGCTGGGGAATTATTAACCATGATAAACCAGTTTTTGTTTGGACTAGTGCATTTCCCATTTCTAACTTATTGTACTTTCTTTTGTGATGTCGTTCAAATTGTGATTTACTATATAGCGCAAAAAACAACCACTAAGTGGGTGCTCCGGTGGTACGAAGTAATGTTGGGGTAGAGTTAATAGTGTAGTGAAAAGAGATGCGTTTATGATGTGATTTGAAGTTAAGGGGCAGTTCATTCCACAGCGATGGAACACACACACTGAAAGAACCCTTTCCACAAGAGGCCCATCTATAAGAGTTTTCAATAAGAATTTGCTTTCAGATCGCAGTTGTCTGAATGATTTGTAGGAGGTTAGCAGTTCCAGTTGAGGTGAGGATAGTGTTTAAAGTACTCTGCATCAGTCTAAATGGCATGACCCCAAATCTCTTTAAAGCTTGATGTTGCTGAGTTGACATTGTTATTGCTGGTTTTATGTCCAATAACTCTTTTAAACTTGATGTTGCTCAGCTGACATTGTTATTGCTGGTTTTATGTCCAATATCTCTTTAAAGCTTGATGTTGCTCAGCTGAAATTGTTATTGCTGGTTTTATGTCCAGTATCTCTTTAAAGCTTGATGTTGCTCAGCTGACATTGTTATTGCTGGTTTTATGTCCAATATCTCTTTAAGCTTGATGTTGCTCAGCTGACATTGTTATTGCTGGTTTTATGTCCAATATCTCTTTAAAGCTTGAAGTTGCTCAGCTGACATTGCTATTGCTGGTTTTATGTCCAATATCTCTTTAAAACATGGGGTTGAAATGTTTTGTCACACATACGACAGTCTTATGCTGTGTTCACGTGTCACAGAATTTGATGTAAACAAATTCCCTCTTTTATTATTGTGAATCGATTCTTATTTTCATCGATTCAATTCATATGGTCACGGTGTTATATCTAGTTGTCTCGTTCAGATTCTTTTAATATCCATTCGTGTAGTTTGGGTACATTTTATTGTGGTTTCTGAGACGTTAGGTTATTAGTACATGATCAGAAATCATTAGACGGTATATGAGAAGTAAGTTAAGAGGAAACGATATTGTTTGCTCTATGTATAAACCGTTGAATAGTAATTAGACTTGACAGCCTCCAGATTGGCTAAAAAAACACTCACAGGTATCAGGTAAAGATAATTTTCAGTTGGTTCAGTTTTCATGTCATGATTTTTTTTAGAACCAGGTGACTGCTTTGGACTATGAAAAGTGTTGTTTAGGTATTTAACTGGGCTATAGGTAGGCTATTGGCTATCTAAAGATAGTATGTGTCATATTTCTACAACTTATGAAATGTGTCAGAACAGTTAGAAGGTGTACAAAACCAACACATTTTGTCACCATTGTGCCAGGTCATTCAGTCCGTATCACAGGTTGACTTCTAGTTTGATCGCTCATGGGATTTTTATTGCTTTATTGTTTGACAATAGATTAAATTATGTATGTTTGGATCAATACTTTGTAGTCTAGGTATAGATTATTTTCCGTTGTACGTGTTTAATGTAACTAACTTTTTACCGTTTTTTTTTCTTGGTTTGACTTCATATGATTTGATTTGACTACCCACCAATGCTATTGGTGGTACTTGTTTCTCTTTTAACACAGTCTGTGGCATCTATTTAAGGATACTCAAGCACTAATGTAGTTACATATTTAGTAAACTGTTCGATTTGTTTCTCTAATGAGCACCCACAGCTGCACTGTATCCATTTAGTGTCATATACAAACCGTTAATAGAAACGTGAATAAATAGTGATGAAAAACATATTTTTTGAACATTTTCTTATCTTTTTGCTAATAATGGTATGCAGCTTCTGTTGAATATTTGTATTGATAAATTGTAAGTTCTCCACCGCCACACTCTAGCACTTTCCACATAATCCAGTGGTTGCTTCTGCGAGCAACGACCCACGTTGTCAAGGAGCTATCTGAACGTCACCGTTCTTCAGACCCGATACATACGGTCGTCTCTTACGTCAGGCATTGGTTGCTGTGGGCTATACTAACCACTAGAGAACAAGTATTGAACCAGTTTCTTGATGGCGTTGCTGTAGGTAACCGGTTGAGGAAGCACTACATCTGGCCCCAAATTCCTGCAGAATACCAAAAGTTGTAATTCAAAAAAGGACACAAAACGTAAAAATGATCCCTGTTCACTGAAAACGATTTTGCACGCTCTAACAAAATAGAAATTTAGAATTTTATTATACTGTTGTTCAATTATTTATTCACATTATTTCAAAGAATATTTTGCATTGAAATATTGTTGAAATCATGCCTGAAATATAAAAAAATACACAGTATGAACAAGTATTAAGAAAATCATGATGAAAATGATATATTTTGGAAGTTTGGTGATTTCCTTGAATAAAATTTCATAATGGATACAGTTTTGTGCACCTTCGATTGTAAAAGATATTTCAACTGATTTCATATTAAGGTGAGTTAAACTATTTCATTTTTTGTTCCCTACTTCGCTTTGCAATCCGAGTTTTAGTGTTTACCGCGATACGATGAATGAATGAATGAATGAATGAATGTCTTTATTTCCTCCAAACACTATCAAAGTCAAAATAATATTCTTTTCACAAATGTGTGGATTAAATGTGATGGTAATCGGATTTGATAATAAAATAGGCCTTAAAGTTTTTAATTTCATTTACGATTACGGATATGTCAAGTACCGCGATACAGCAAGTCGCAGGCTATTCCCAATTTTGCTTCCTGTTTTTATGAAGACAGCATCTGAAGTTCAGAATACAAGACTAGGACAGTATAATTTTCACAAATGATTTCACAGACAATTTCTCAGGTGTTTGTGTAGTGGTATACAGGCATTCAGGAAAACGTTTAAGTTGCGCTTTTAGTCTGAGGTTGGAAGCGGAATGGTATGGTATAGGACAGCTCATGATTGTTAATGAAAATTTGAACGGCATGCACAGCCTAAACACATCGTTCGAGATGCCCCCTGCAGGGACGTAACGTCATACTGCAACACAGTAACACAAGCTCACACGTGGCAGGTGTTGAGTGAGTGAGTTTACTTTTACGCCGCTTTTAGCAATATTACAGCAATATCACGGCGGGGGACACCAAGCATGGGCTTCACACATTGTACCCATGTGGGGAATCGAACTCGGGTCTTCAGCGTGAAGAGCGGATGCTTTAACCACTACCCCACCGCCCCGCATGTGTTAAAGCGGACGTTATGACGCTGTAATGCCAAGTTGTTCCTCTGGACCCCTCCCCCGTACAACATGCCGCGATTGAGATAAACAATGTGTACACAAAACTAAGGCTACAGAACACACTAGCTTAGTCGTGGGTGACATTTGGAATTTGAACACGCTGGTTGCTCCGGTGCGCAGCTGCTACCTGGTGTGTGTGAGGCATATGACTGTTTCGCCTGTATTCCACATTGTCAGTTGAGCAATTACACAGGGAATGTGTTTTGATGAAAACTGATCAGACGAATGACCAAACACAGTGCTGTAATTATATAACATTTACACCACTTTATATGGGACATAATTACTTTTTCCAGCAAGTATATTGTCCCCCGCCGCAACGCGGAACAGGGTACTATGTATTCAGCGCCCTCCGTACGTCCGTTCGTACGTTCCGATTCTTGTTAACGCGATATCTCATGAACTGTTGTACCCAATGTCTTCGAATTAGGTGAAAGCCTACTGTGGGGGATTACGCAGACTCCAGTCCATTTGGGTGACCTTGACCTTATTCTCAAGGTCACCACACCACTTTGACCCCTTTTCTTGTTAACGCAATGTCTCATGCACTTTAGCCATGTTAGTGGCAAACACTTGTTCTACTTCTGTAATGTGGGTCAAGGTGGCGCCACGTTAAGATGTCTCTGATACGTGTGCTGCAAGGTCCTGCGGTTTGAATGCAGGCGGCGCTTGACTAGATCAGATGTATTTCCCTTTCCACCATGGGCATGTTTGTTACACATTCAAAATCATAGTCTGGCGAGAACACGAGAAGTCGGCAAGGAGGTGTGAAGTGGGCTTAAATGTCGAGTTTAGGATATTTGAGGTAGCCCCTTTGGGATGACCTTAAAATGTCTCTAACTGATTTGGAGGTTGAACCCTCAAGGTACTGCAACAAACAAACAAACAAACACTGTGACTGGTGCTGATGGTAGGGCAGGACATGTTTATCCCATTTCGTGATTGACCTTTTGAGTGTTCTTGTCGTGTGAAGTTCTGTGGTAAAGGAACACAACCCATGCCTTTGTTGATGTAACATTTAACCTGAACTATTTGTTTACTAAGGTTACGTTTTTTGGTTTAAAGCTTTACTTATACTTCCCTTGAACTAGAGATGAGGTGACGACATGGGAACTAATATCGTTAACGGACATGCATGTTCAAAATATGTTAGCTTGAACAACGCTGTTTACTCCGATCAAGATTTCATCAAAAGTACACCAGATACAACAAAGGTACACACGGGTGTATGATGTGACTTCAGGTAACCATGCAAAAATGGCAGAGAAAAGCTGATTAGTATGGGGCCAGCGCTTTTACGAGGTGACGTAATATGCCCTCGGGAAAGCGCTGGCCCAACACCATGACGTCACAGAGGCGGTCATGCGATGACCGCCCTATGGCGTCGAAAACGCCCTGACTCACAACCACCATGACGTCACGATAACGATGACCGCCATATGACGTAGGAAAAGCGCATGACGTCACGATGGCGGTGTCCGACTTACGACGTAGGAAAAACGCCTGACGTCACAGTGTCTGTCGTGCGCATTATGACGTAGAAGAAAAACGTCCACTCAAGGTGTCACGGTGGTGGTCATGCCACCCCTCCCAATGACAAAGCGTCCAGCACAAAGCGTCCAGCATGCATCACGGTGGCGGTAATGCGCTGCCCCTGCTCTGTGTGTGTGTGTGTAAAGCTATAAGTCTACCAAACAAATCGTGTACTCCCGAGGTCTCTACTAGGCCGTACGAAGCAACACGTAAAATACAACATAGACATTCATACATTTCAGACATTTTATTCGCAAATCTGGACACCATCAAACATATGTTCACATACACATTTTTTTAAGCAATACAACAGCGACGAGAATATATTCTATACACATTTATAACCATACAACAACGACGAGAATATACACATTTTAAGCAATACGACGAGGTGTAGATATACAATAATTTACCGTCATACTATAATATGCGTCCTCGTATCACTGTCGAATTTGAAGGGACACGTAGTTTTCAGGAATTTTCGGCGCACCATTTCCACAATCGTAATCCCCAGCAGGCACGCGCGACCTTGTCCGAAACACCGGTATAATACAACCCTCTCCGGGCTAGCTGTCTACCCTTCTGAACCAGCTGTTCGGGCCAGTCCTTAAAAGTAGCCATCCTGTCGTAGCCACATAACATCGTTTCGTGTCAGTAGTTCTGGATTAAATCGACCAGTAGCTTTCTATGCACTACTGATGGCTGTTTCCCACAGGTGTCGTACCCACGTTGA